ATCCCAGGAGGGTAAGGGTAAGGTGGAGGGAGAAAGGGGGAACCGATCACAATGATCTACATACAACTACCTCCCAGGAGGATGAACAACAGATAAGGGGGTAAAGAGAGACATCAGACAGTGTGAGACATGGAAAAATAATAATTTATAAATTATTAAGGGTTCATGAGGGAGGGGAGGGGAAAATGTGCTGATACCAAGGGCTTAAGTAGTAAGAAAAGTAGCAACAAATGTACAAATGTGCTTGACATGATGGATGTATGGATTATGATAAGAGTTGTATGAGCCCCCAATAAAATGATTTAAAAGGGAAAAAAATGTTGGTATTGACTGCGAGGTGTGAGCTTTGTGGGAGTTTTTATGATTTGGATCCATGTCTACAGGATGCCCACTTAAAGCTTCCTTTCAGGTAGCTGCGTGTTCTGGAAGTTCGCTGATAAGACCCTGAAAAACTGACTGGGTGCACGGTGACCATCTCTGTCGCCGCACCCCTGCCCGCACACCTTTCTCTTGCTGCCCAGGAGGGAAGCGCGAGGGCTTGCCTCCGGGAGAGGCGGGGCAAGATGCTGTGATATTTAGAGCCTGCCTTGGGATTTGAAAGGCCCAGCAATGCCTTCCAGTGTATTAGAGCAGGAGACAAAGATAGACTGTTTACAGCTTCAAGGATCGAGTTATGACAGCGGAGTTTTTTATGGGACTGGTCGTAAATGCCTCCTCCCTAGGGACCATAGCAAAGCACATGCCTGCGTGATGCCCACGTAACAATCACATCCTGGCCAGTCTTGGCTGGGCAGGCCCTACCACCTCTGCCCCCAGTGGGTGAGCCAGGGCATGTTACCCTATAAGCCAGGTAAGCACCGGCTTACTAATGTGTAAGGCCAGGGGCCACGTGGAGCTGTTCTCTACAGACTGTATGTAAGTCAGCCCATGCTTGCCTTGCCTTCTGGCTGCCCGTCCCCGGCAGGGATTGCCGAAAAAGAGGCTTGGGTTCTGTAGGAAGGTGCTGTGGGGCTGGGAGAGAGACCGGTGCCAGCCAGGCCTGGACGCAGAATCTTTGATGGGGGCGGGGGAAGGCCTCCCCTGGAGGCGGGCCGGTGTTGTGGCGGCCGGGCAGCAGCACACTGCTGGCCCTGGGAAGGGGTCAGGGCTGGGTTAGGCTCACGGGAGACCGTGTTGGGAAGAACCAACTGCTGCTGTCTGCGCTATCCTGGTGAGAGGAATAAATAAAGGATTTCAGATTCCAGGGCTGCCCAACTGGCTTTGAGAGGCGCCAAATTCATTTCCAGCAATTTCCTGTCCGCGGCACACACATGTATGACAAGCCAGCAGCGTGCATCGCCTGTGTTTGGAAGATGGAGAACTCACGCCTCTGTCAGGGCTTTTCCTGGTTTCCAGGCTACAGGCTGTAGTGGTTTTAAGGGCTGTCCAGGGGCCTGGATTGCTGTTGTTCAGGACCTCTGAGGGGGTTCCGACCCAGAGTGACCCGAGGCAGAACAGAAGGGACCCCCTCCCAGTCCTGCACCGTCCTCACCGTTGCTCTGATCCCGGAGCCCAGTCCTTCTCACTGCCCCCTCCCATCCACCCCCCCCACCCCCCACCCCCACCCCCACACACACACACACTTGACCAAGCGTGACGTCCTTCTCCGGGGACCGGTCTCCTGACACCATGTCCAACATACCGTGACACCGTGGAGCACTTTCCCTCCCTCTCTCTTTTGTCCCCGGCACAATGTTAGTTGACCCTCACATGGACGTCAGGTGGGACCCGAGGAGAGAAAAGGTGGAATTGGTGAAGGCTTACATAGGAGCACTTGGCTGCTTCTGCTTTGGTTAGCTCCCATTTTCTCCCCACTAAGCAGCCTCATCAAAAATAAGGGGCCCAGGTTCCCACCTTTCCTCCCGGATCGGGCGCCTGTGAACATGCTCTTGGCGTCCCGCGGTCACTCGGTGAACGGGCGCTTCCCTCGCCTTCCCCCTGGAGAGTCATTGAAACCACTCTGTTTAGAGTCTGGCCTGTGGTTCTTTTCAGTGTTGTAACTGAGCTAATGCTGCCTGTGGGATCACATCCCACACAGATGTCTGTCCTAAGTAGGCCCTAGGTGTGTGTGGAGGGAAGCTTTCAAAGAACCATCTTCTCGCTCCGCCGGCCCTAAGAGTCTGTCAGTCTCTGCGAGCTGTGTTAGAAGAATGTGGCCCAAGGTCCCGTGCGAGGGGCTCCAAGGCCACGGACGGCCCCCGTGTCTGAGAAGGGGCAAGCCAGAGTCGGTGTGGCCCCTGGGAGAGGAGCTGGGCGAGTTGTGGGCCTCGAAGAGCGTGCCGTGGTTGAAGATGGAGTGTTGGGGATGTCCGATATTCTGCCTGGGGAAGATGCCTTCCTCTCATCTGTGGGCACCGAGGTTTGAAGGAAAACCACGTTCCTCAGCCAGACAGCAGTTTGCAGTGAGTCTCGGGCAGGGTTGAGAAGGTGCATTTCTCAGAGGCTTGCAGTAGGGTGCTGGTTAGAGGAAAACCCGGGGGCTGCACAGCTCTGTCTGGGAGCTGGCCAGACAGGTGGAGAGGTGGTGCCTCACTGTCTGGCCCGATCTCTCTAAACGTTAGCCCCTTGTTTTGGACCATCGCGTGTGCTCAGGGATGCGGGGAGGGGGCGTTGAAAGCAATGATGATTATATAACCCCACTCGAGGGAAACGAATAATAGACTTGCAGGTGAATGTATACATTGGATGGTGTAACATACGGCAAATAATAATATATAATACATTATTTAGGGTTCCTGGGGGTTAGGAGAGAGGAGGGAAGGGGGATACAGGGGAACTGATAGCAAGGAGTTCAAGAAGGAAGGAAATGTATTGAGACTGATGGTGGCAGCATGTGTACAATCACGTGTGATCTAATTGAAGCATGGGTGCTGAACAATATCTGTAAGAACTCCCCACTGAAGAAAAAAGAAGTGAGACCCACACACACACCATGTCTGCCCCCCCCC